TCAATTCACTCAACACAGTCAAAATATTGCAGCTAGGCTTAAATCACCTCTCAATAATCACAAAGCCGCAGTTGGACACGGCTTCCAGTGGGGACACAGTCTTCACTTTCATAGAAGTTTCACATATATTTTTTTTAAGGAGATGGTCTCCTAGCAATGGGCTGTAGCTTCATGGAATATATCCCTGAAGATGCCAAAATGAGGGAATACAGACAGCTTTAATGTCCTATGTACCCTACTCTCGCCCCGCTCCTGATCCCTCTTGGTTTGACAGCTATTTCTCTAGAGATTTATACTTTAAATCTTTAAACTCAGGTGAGACTTCAAAAACACTCGTCTTTTCAGTAGGCTAAAGACAAGGGTCTGTTGAGGCCACGTACTCTGAAAAGTCCAGAAATCACCGTCCCCGGTTTTTCTACTTCAGATAAAGTCATTTGACCACTTCCCTCAAGCTGACTTACCCCAGCAGCAGTATCTCTGGCTGCTGGAAGCCTAGGAAGACACATTTTTCACTTATCAACTCTCTTCTCGGCCGGTTTTTGAATTTTGTCTTTCTCTTCCCTGTTTCGATCTCCTCCCATTCTACTGGAAAGACCTGAGTGTAATGCTAATAGCACTTGCTATTGCACTTGCTAAGAGTACCAGGCCCTCGCGCTCTCGGTAACACCACCAGCTTCCCTGAGAAGCGGCACAACATTGCCCAAGACCACTACGTACAAATGCGGCTGTTTTTTAGCAGGTTGCCCACAGCTAAAATTGGGCTGGAAGGTTTTAAATGGTCTGTTATGAGACAGCGTAACACCCCGTCCCAAAGGATGAACACAGATGCCTTGCACACATACTGCCCAATACTCCTCTGCATGCGTGAACACTGAATGCCGAGCAGCAGCCGCTGCTTCATCAAATTCACCTTATGCAGGGGCAACCAGCGCTGCCTGTCTGCTCCCCCGCCAATAAATGGGAACACTAGCACCCTAGTTAGGGCAAGATGATGTGCATCAGTCTGCCTCAGCCCTATCGCAGTGAGCCATTACTCCTACCTCACTTAAAAGTTCATGTTTTAGGGGGAATGGGAAGAGCCTTTGCAAATCCCTGATTTCAACTATCTTTCAGGAGCTTAGTAAATCTAGACCTGCACTAAAAGTTCTTAATTTCAACCCAACCTAAGCTGCATCTCATATGAGGAATTCTCCTGAGACGTGTCACTGTAATTGCCAGTGTCTCCATAACATAGTGGCTGCTGAATAATTCAGAGATTATTTTGGTTGTTCAGGTGTGCGAGTGACTGAAGTAGTACGTTTCAGCAGTAAGCACCAGCAAGGACTATTGCTAGCAAGCAAGTGGCCGAGTCACAGCTTATTCAGATTACGGAGAGCAGAAATAACTCTGCGTTCTGGCAGCTGGCAAACTTTCTAGTTGTGTATCGCCACCTCACTAGCTCTACCTTATCTCACACACACAAACAACTGCTCGTGACTAGCAGCCAAATTGTATGCATTTGCCTTTTCCAAACTTGCCTGGGGCCATGAATTCAGGAGCAACATGAATGAAAAAAGCAAAAACAAAACAAAAAAAAAGAGGAGGAATGTAGTTTGCATGATTACCTTCCAATTTACTTGCCAAATGCTCAAGTTCTAATATGTAGGCAATCCTTAGCTAATTAATTTCTGAAGTTCATGGATGTCTGGCTTTGTTATCTGTACCCAATCCTCATTTTCTAGGTAGTACATGCACAACATAGAGAACAATTTTTTAGAGTCCCGTGGTCATTCTGCTGGCACAAATATTTCTACTTACTTGTTGCCATGTTAATCTCAGTCGTTCAAACTGCTCCTTCCCATCTTCTGAGCAATCAGAGCAAGTAAACCTGAAAAAGTTATCTCCTTTGAGGTAGCTGAGCTGTTCTCTCAGTTGACCTACAACAAACAGGCAAAAAAGCAAATTATTTGTCCTTTTGTAGGAAAAAATGCTGCAAAGTATATTTGGATCCCCTACAAGATCAGGCAGAAGAGTCCTTTTGCCTTTTTCTGGAGTCCAGCGATCCAGCCAGTTCCTAAGAAATTCCAGAATTCACCGTGATGACTAAGGTGCAGAGTAATTTTACAGCTACAGGACTCAGCAGTGACCAGCTGAAAGGCCCAGACGTTAGGAAGAGGTGCCCCACTTAACATCTGGAAACATGTAAACAGCTAAAGGGTTTGCCTGTTTCCTCTGCTTTCTTCACTCCTTCATGCTCCCCGAGGTTAAGATACTTCAGTATATACTTCAGTAAATAACTGTGTTTCCACTCGACTTTAAAAAGCTGGCCTGTAAAAAAGGTATGCAATGGCGAAGGCTATTAGAATACACAAGCTTTCTCTTTCTGGTCACCTTTCCACGAATTATTAGGCAGCTTTACAGCTCTCTCTTCCCTTTCCCTGTCCACACAGCAAGGTTGTCGATCCCCGTTTACAGCAGCCTCCGGGACACACCAAAGTAGACATGGTGCGGAGCTTTAAGGTGTTTATTACTCCTTTGCGGGTTAATCTTTCCTTGAGGCTGAGAGCCAAAAGAACGGCCTTACTAGACAAAAAGGAACGATATTATCAGGAAACGGGGTTTTTTTTTGTCTACAGGTCACGCATTAGGCCCCAAATCAGCGAAGCCCTTCAGCATGTGCTTTACTGGATAAAGCTAAGCCTGAACGCAAGTTTATCTGAACGAAAGTGGTCTGCTGGGACGGAGCCAACTGTAAAAGCCCACCGGTCCCACAGTTAAACGATCTAACGCCATGTTTCCGCAGCAGAGCATGGGAAGAAAAAGGAAAGAAAAAGAAAAAAAACCCAAGCAAATGAATCTGGACTTCTAAATTCACCAGAGGTTCATTTACATACATATGAATATTACAAGGAAAAAATGGCAAAACATGGGAAACACTAAAGCCTTTCTGAAAATTCACACAGGAAAGGTTGTTTTCGGAAAGCACCGCACCTCCCTTACTACGCTGTGACTCTAGATCGAGCGTTTCCCCACATACGGCTGCTTTGCTTTTGTAGGGAACTGCAGAATTTGGCTATTGAGTAAGGTTGCACCTATGTCTTTGCTGGGAAAAAGCACGCTTGTTAGATGAACAGGATTTCTAGAGGGCAGGTCAACACAGAAAGAGATTATTTGGCCGAGTCTGTTGGTATCGTTCACAAGCGACAAGCGAGATCAGTTTAACGGAACAACAGCACAGAGAACAGTATTTCCTCTTCCCAGCTTGTTTACTCTACACACCTGCATCTAGTTACGGTTGCTCTGCGATTAGCTCTCTCTGCTCTATGGATTTGTTAGGCAGCAACAAGAGAAAGGAACATCTTTGTAAAACACAACAAATTGCGTATAAAATTAAGCGCTCTCAGATGCAACATCTCATGCTCCCTTGGACTCGGTTGCCTTTTTTTTTTTTTTTTTTTTTTTTTTTTGGGAAAATAAAAATTTTCATAGTGTAAATTGTCAAGTGAGTATGTCCCTTTAACTGCTCCTCACTGTATCTCAGTAGTACTATGCTGGCTCCATCAAGCTAACCACAAAACACCCGCCGACCGGCCTGGAGAGGAGACGTCTACCCTATAACTTTTGGTGGACTCAAAGATGGCGAAACGGGCGGCTGGCGTACCTGCCAGGCAGATGCCACCTGAAGAGCTCACTACTTCTAGCCACCAACAAACAGCAGGTAGCAATACGTAGGTTTTAGATATAATAGTAGATTCAATCATTTAGATTTTGGAAAGTAACATCTCTTCTATTTCTCAGCTAACAGCATGTATCTTATGTCAAATAGCAGGAGCGGAGAGATCAAGTGATCCAACCTGCTTCAAACGCCTCCGAAAGCTAGCTGCTACAGGCCTAACACGCCTCTGTGAAACCTACATTAAATTCACGTTCTTAGGAAATCATTAAGGTTGAGAGTTAGTCTTATGTTCCACAGATGTGACAAACTAGCCAGGAAAAATAAAGAAAAAGAAAGACAAAAAGACCACCACCTACAGAACCCTTTTCACCCATAGACCTTTATAGAAACAGTCACTGCCTTTACCTCTCTGCTGAGCGACATGCAAAGTCACTTGGCTAAAGTCCCCTAACACACTGACAACAGAACTTGAATGCGTGCTCGCATTTCCGAAGTCCTGCCCTTGCTTTCTGTTTAGCAGATCCAACAGTCCCATTTTTTTTACTGGGGAATGCCAGTTTTGGATACCCATATGGGGTTCATGGGTGTAAGCGCCTGATGCACACAAACACAACAAATGGCTTTCGGCTACTGGGCTCCATGTGATGCCAAAACAGCATTTCTTCCCAATGACAGAATAAGGCTAAATAGAGCTATTCTTTAAAATGGACAGCATGACCACCTTGCCTCATGCCTCATGAGACCAGGCGAGACCCACACACTGTATTTTGGGGGAACATACCAACCGTAATAAAGCAAACTGGAAATGGGAAGCGCTACAAGAAATAATAAAAACAGCATCCTTACTTGCTGGTATCCACTTCTGACACTTCTCACAATAATAGGACATCTCCTCCATCCAAGATGCATCACCTTCGTCACTGTTCAGAGAGTCTCCGCTCTGATCATGCGATAAATCCACGGAGGCTTGATCCTCAGACTCGACAATCAGGAGCGTCTCCCCTTCCACCTCACCCTCCTCCAGGCCTTCGGAGGTCGACGTCCTTGTCGCTTCATCATCATGGCGACTCAGCAGCCCGCTCATGTGAACATTATTAGCCATCCTTTATCACATAAAGGAAGATGGTGCTTACTTTACAAGGAGCCCTTCCTCCTCACATTCACAAGACCATCCCCACTGCATGTGCCAGTCAAGTCTCCGCTCGTGAAAGTGCTGAAGATAGAGGCGCTATAGTTTTTTGAATTGTATTAGAATGTATGTGAAAGAAATGGTCTTTCACAGATTACCTCCGCTTACTTGTGGGCTGTCAGATAGCAAACCTGGCCAACTGCCTTCAGTCCACACTCTCAGGGGTCAGGACCGTGCCTAGGACTGCTGGGACCCTTTCTCCATTAGCGTCTTGTCTCTTTCTTCTTTGAGCTGCTTCGTCAAAGCGATCTGCTCTTCTAAAAGGCGAATATTTTGCTCTTTCTGACTCAGTCGCTCAAGGTCTCTGAGAACTCCTCTGTGCAGCCTCTGAAAATACAAGAGACAGGGTTCATCGCAGCCTGCTTGATATTGAATACGACTAATCTCCACCTGGGCTCCAACCCCTCTGGCAGCGCTGTTAATCATATTACCTTTGCAAATCTTCAGTTCTCCGCTGCCTTCAGCCACAGCCACTTTGTTGTCTGAATCTAAAACTACAGTAGCTGACATCTGAGGCTGATAAGCTAATACTTGGTTTGTACTCACTTCAGATGGGTGCACTTACGACGTGGTAAAGCTACTGAGCAAAGAAGTGCTATGTATCAGTAACTCTGCCCTAAATCTTTATGGAAATTGAACGAATCTCTCCAAAACTTCTCTTCTGCTTGAAGAGAATTTTGTGGCAAATCAGAAACAATTTTGCCTTATTCTGCTTCTTTCTGCTTATATCTTACTCCTAAAAAAAACCTGGTAAGATGTTGCTAGAAGTCTGATAAAAGTCCCTAGCGTGCTTATGCCAAGCTCTTGAAATCAAGCAAGGCACTTAATTAAAAAAAATAACCTTTACCTAAAATGTTCGTTAAGAATGAAATGTGCAGAATCAATCAGCAGTTCTCAAACTGACCGGTAAGCCCCCAAAAGGGTTTGAAAAGCCCTAAGAAAATTCCAGCTAGCCTTTGTTTCCTCCTTACCCTTTCGTCTCTCTCTGCTCCTGGAAAGTTTTCTTTACTCCGGTAAGCAAGAGAAATGCTTAACCTTAATTTCTTACCAAGGGAAACGGGGAATGAAAAACAAGTGGTGGAACCAAAAGTGGTGACATGTATCAGGATGGGGAAAAGAAATGGGAGGCAGCAGACGGGAACCAGTTGCTGTGCTCCAGATGGGGACAGGTAAGACAGCAGCAGTACGTGAATGGAGAGGATGATGAGGTTAGACACAGGATGGAGAAGATGGCAAGACTGAAACTAGTTCTGGAAGAAAAGGTGACCCAAGCTGAGCATTTCATCTGCTCGAGCACTTTGTGCATGTGACAACACTTAGGCAGGGATCCTGCAGCGAACACTGCATAGACTGAACTCTCAAAGAAGTATAGAGAAGAACCGGCTTTGGTGGGCTCCAGGCACACACACAGACCCACTCCTGCAGTGCTTTTAAGACTTCGCGACCAGTCCTTTCCAGAGTCTGCCCTGCAAATTCAGAGCCTGGTCCTGAAAGCGGACCAGACTGCTTAACTGGAACTTCTACCAGTTCCTTATTATTATCTATATGAGCATCTGTGTGACAGTGGGGAGAAGAAAAAAGAAGTAAAACTGGCTACAGGCAGCTGGGATGGTGTTCCCCAGCCATTTAAACCAACCTAAGCCAGCCTTGCTCTAGTTTTTCCATTCCCGTGCTCTCCTCTGCACTCACAACAGTGCTCACCTGATCCCAGGGGTGAGCCAGCCCAGACAGATAAAACAGTAGAAAATAGCTCACTTTTTTCTTCCCCCCCTCCCCCCCCATAAAGAAGTCATACTCTGCTGACTGACCTCCCTGAACTGGCTCACCGCAAGGTAAGTGCCAGTGCAAAGGCAAACATAGCAACATGCCGACTCCCTTGCCTGTCTGTCTGTCTCGAACTCCTCGGGCAGGCGGTAGCTTTTAAATCTGTGGACGTTATACTCAATTTCAAAGCAGCAGTCATATGCTTATCAGAAGATATTGTACACGAGGCGAGAGATATTGTAACTGAGGAGAGCAACACTCCAAACGATTGTAATAAGCCAGTAGTGGCTCACATCTAAATCAAGCCACATGAGCGCAGTCACGTTTTAGCACAACTAGAGACGGGAATCTAAGAAGTGCGATACCCCTGCCTGATTTACCAGCTGACACGCATAAATCTAAAACGTCCAGCTTGCAGTCAGCAACGAGAAAGATTCACACGTACTAAGGCTAGTCATTGGATACTGGAGTTAGGAATAAAGTATTTAGCCTAATGACGAAAAAGAGGAATAATTTATTTGATCTGTTTTACCGGTGCCAAAATGCACCTGCAAATAATTTGTTTGAAAACTGACCCTGAAGCTGTTTTAGAACATACTTGTAATTATTATTTGACAAATTCTCACGGGGTTTTCTTTTTCATCTAGAATACCAAAAAGTGTGTGTTTTTCTTCTGTTAAGATTAAAATAGGAATGCTTTGTTTAAGAAATGCTTTATCTTGTTAAAAATATACAGACACGTTTGTCAGCCAATAATCAAAACTCTCTCTGGAAATTAATCTAATAAAAGCAGTTCCTTCCCATCACCTTCAAAGCACTGAATTCAGGTTACAAATTACTAATTGCTAAAGACAAAGCTCATAAACTAAATACTTCATTAGTGCTATCTAATAACAACAAAGATGTGAAGAGATACTGTGTAACTGAACAATCAGGGCATCAGGCAGGTTAACCTTTTTCCTTCATAAAATACAGCTGTTCTGCAATCCTTCAGATGCTGAAAACGTTTCCTCCTAAAACGCACAGTTTGCAAAAGACACCTTTATAATTGTTACCTCATGCATGACAAAGAGCTACAAAAAAGTTCTTCTCTCCTTTTTCTATACTCTAAGGTTAGGCCTGTTTGCTTTCTGAATCAATTTAGATAAATTTATGCAAGCTGAAATCAATCAGTTCCTGGAATATCAAATTATAAAAGCCAAAAGTCTGTTAATCTACGTAAAGATAAAACTGAAATAATCCCTACACCAGGTCTGAAGAATGTCCATGTTACTCATTTTCATTTCTTTATCTAAATAATTGGCTCCCTCAAACCTGAAGCCATTATTTCCCAACTTGAACATCAAGATCATAAAAATAAAATTTCAGATTTCATTTATAAAAGATAAGCTTTGGGCCCTATTAATACTAAGGTAAGCTTTGAGCCCTATTGATTCTGAATAGTGATTTAAAGTTTAACTGCGAGCTCAGAACGAAGAATCAAGTGATTGGGCTTTGCTGCAGCAGCAGCATCTTGAGTAATCCTAGTACTCCTGTAACAGAAACATGTAATCTGTGTCAAACTCAGCTTTTCGGGGAATCCTCCTCAATTCTAGAGAACTGTTTTGCTAACCCATCCCCCTAAGGACAGGTCAGCCACCTCTGAAGTCATACATCGGACATATATTTTGAGAGTAGAGGGGCTTCTCTGGGGGGAAAATAGTTCCCCGTATCCTCCCTTGCCCATGATATGGTAACTTTCTGGTAGCCCTGCAACCCCTTTCCCCTTCCCAGAGTTCGCAGAGGCTGTGTGAGGACGGATAGAAAATAACAGGTTGCATTTTGTGCGGAAAGGGACAAAATGTTCAGTGATCTGAAAAAAAAAAAAATTGTATTTAAATTTTGGTTTAAAAAAAATGAGGACACCGGCTCTGTCACCCAGAAACTCCAAAAAGGTTTTTCCGCTGATCGGCGTTCCTTTGACCCCTCCATCTCTAGGAAACGCAGCAAAACTGTCTGTCAGCGGCTTAACAGCAGCGACGCTGATACCCTCCGCAGCAGTGACCGCTCCCAGCCACAGGGGTGAAGGCTGTCCATCCTTGTCCATAAGTTATCCGGCACTTGGAAAATGCAGGATTTCCTCAGACAGAAGGTTGCAGAAGCGATCTCAGGTCGCCAGCAACCAAAGCTACTCAACGCTGTTGTGCAAACGAAGCAGACGTCAGCGGATTAGGAGAACCGCTGCTGAACGAGGCTTTTCAAAGCTCTGAGAAGCTAGGCTGGGAAGGGAAGCTTTTTGTTCTGCTCGGAAGCCTGCTGGAGCAACTACAGCAGAGCAATGGGAACATCAGGCATAGGGCAGCAAGTCCCTATTTTCTTCCAGATAGTAAAAGAGATGCATAAACCAAGCTGGGGGCGCTAACCATACGAATTAATTTGCTGATCGACCACTGCTTTTTTCAGGGACACACTGGAAGAACGCCAAGCTTCCAAGTTAAAAGCTCAGAATCCCACACTCTGGAGTTGCTTCTGTGCCCTTAACTCACCCCCTTTTTTTTGCCCAGGAGTTACAGTCCAGTCTCTCCCATGCTGCTCTTGCCATGGGACTGCCATCTCGTTCAGTAATGGGAATGGATCCTGACCAGGTATTCAGTATTTAGTTTCACATCCCTTGTTCCTCCTGTTGCCTGAGGCATTATTTACTTTGAGATACACAGATCACGCTCTGATGGTGGTGTCACTCATTTCCTTATGGACTCTTTTATGTCCGTTACCTCCACAGTTTGTAAATATGAATTTGTTTTCAGAACCCCTCTATCAGACGAAGGAGTGATACTAATCAAGGAAAGATTAAGGTCAAAAACACCCCTTAATTTTAGATGTCTCACTAAAACATTAAGGAGAGACTTTTTTCAGAGCATTCAGTATCCTGCAGCACACCATGTGTTCAAAGTACAGCTCCCATTTATTTCAGCTGACACTCAGGAACGTTTAGTACATGTTCCTGCCAGACCCTTGGTGGCTGAAGGCATCCCATCCACCAATCACAGAATCACAGAAGGGTTGAGGCTGGAAGGGACCTCTGGAGATCATCTTGTCCAACTCCCCTGCTCAAGCAGAGTCCTCTAGAGCACGTTGCCCAGGATCGCGTCCAGGCAGGCTTTGAATATCTCCAGCAAAGGAGACTCCACCACCTCTCTGGGCAACCTGTGCCAGTGCTCTGTCACCCTCACAGGAAAGAAGTGTTTTCTCATGTTTAGATGGAACTTCCTGTGATTATTTGTACCTGTCCTACTTGTTGCCCCTCACCCTGGGCACCATTGACGAGTCTGGCCCCATCCTCTTGACACCCTCCCTTCACATACTTGTACACGTTGATGAGATCCCCTCTCAATCTTCTCTTCTCCAGGCTGAACAGGCCCAGCTCTCGCAGCCTTTCTTCCTAGGAGAGATGCTCCAGTCCCCTCATCATCTTCATAACCCTCCACTGGACTCTCTCCAGCAGCGCCATGTCTCTCTTGTACTGGGGAGCCCAGATCTGGACACAGTACTCCAGATGTGGCCTCCCCAGGGCTGAGGAGAGGGGCAGGATCACCTCCCTCCACCTGCTGGCAACACTCTGCCTCATGCACCCCAGGAGACCATTGGCCTTCTTGGCCACATTGCTGGCTCATGGTCAACTTGTCCACCAGCACGCCCAGCTCCTTCTCCGCAGAGCTGCTTTCCAGCAG